AACATAACTGTGTATGACTTAAATGGAAAATCCAGTGCAGTAATTCCTTTACAGCAGGTAAGATAACTGTCAAATACAAGTATTCTAACTTATTTTAAGTCTCAAAGGGGTAGGCATATTAATCTGTATCTTTAAAAACAGTGAGTAGTCCTATGGCACCTTAGAGACTTTTGTTAGTCTCTAAGGCTATGTCTAGACTGGCATGATTTTCCGCAAATGCTTTTAACGGAAAAGTGCCAATCAAGATGCGCTTTTCCGTAAAAAAGCCCCGATTGCCATTTTCATGATCGGGGCTTTTTTGCGCAAAACAAATCTGAGCTGTCTACACTGGTCCTTTTGCACAGAAGCTTTGCGCAAAAGGACCTTTGCCAGAACGGGAGCAGCATAGTATTTCCGCAAGAAGCACTGATTTCAGACAGTAGGAAGTCAGTGTTCTTGCAGAAATTCAAGCGGCCAGTGGAGACAGCTGGTTTTGCGGAAAAACTTGCCAGTCTAGACACAGCCTAAGGGTACATCTACACAGCAACATTATTTCAAAATAACTAGCATTATTTTGAAATAACTTAGTCCACGTCTGTGGAGCAGGCAGTTATTTCGAAATAATGTTGCTGTGTGGACGTACCTTAAGGTGCCAAAGAACTACTCCTTATTTTAAGAGTTAGAAATTACTTACTAGAAGACTTACCCAGCATTGTCTGCAGACAGAGGCTGCTCCATGGGATGCCCGGTGCAGCCCCTGCCCATGGAGAGTTCAAATCCAGAGGCAGCAGCATGGGATGGCAGGGGGCTCCCCGGGGTGGGGCAGGGAGCACACTGGCTAACGGTCCCACCCTGGGGGACTATTGAATAGTTGTGTAACTGATCTTGTGTGTGGTTACACGACTATTCAGATTAATCACTATCTACCCATACCTTCAGGGCAGGGTGCTGGTGGTGTGTGGGGGAGGGGGTGCAGGGCAGGAACGTGTAGTGAAAGAGTGAGCATTGGAGGTTGAGGGGGAACTCAGGGCAGAGTATCCCATCTGGTAGTGCTTTCTCCCTTCCCAGCTCCTGCAGCTGGTGGGATCTTCTGTCCCCTGCCAAGCCCCGTGTTCAGAAGGGCCTTCTTCCCACCCAACCCCTATGGCCAGTAGGACCTTCTCTCCACCACAGCCCTCCCTGGCTGCAAGGGGCCTTTTCTCTCCCCTCAACTACCCCTTGGCCGCACGGAGTTTTTTCTCTTCCTCTTGCTCCCTCTGGCTGCCAGGGACCTTCTGTCTCCCCACAGCTTCCTTGGCCTGCATGGCCCTTCTCCCTTCCTCTGGTGCTGTGGGAGGGATTTGGTGCAGAGGGACTACTTATCCTGTCTGGTGACAGGCAAGATTGCCAAGCCCCAGCCCCACTGGCCATCCTCTTGGTGATCTCTCTTCAGTATAGCTTTCCCCTGCGGGCTCGCTGCTTTCAGTATGGTGCCCCTTCTCTCTTTGCCCACCTTTTCAATATTATGGAAAACAGTCCGATTCCCAGCTCTTCCCATTTTCTTGGCACAGCCAAACCGTGATCTTGCTTTAAGTTAGCATAATAGGAAGCTCCATACTAAATTTGGTGATCCTAGCTCTTACTGTTTAGGAGGTGTTCTTGAACAAATGGACTCACAGATAGATGTGCTGATCTCTAAAATAAATAGTATAATAGTTCCCAAAGGCCATGATAAAGAAAAATTTGAGTAACTCATAATAAAGATTGATATTCTTGAAATCACCGGTTTTAATTATGATTTTAAATCAACAATCAGGAAAGCTTTATTTAAATAATAGATTTTAATTGTATTTACATTTGTTGTGAGATTTATTCTCATTGGTTAATACTTGCTGATTTGCAACTAAATATAGCCTTTGCATGAAGTTTGGTGCTTTTTTGTTTATTTGATTGCCTGGTTTGGGGGGATTTTTTTTGTGTTTGCTACCTAAACAGGATACATATATGTATTAAAGCTGGTATCTAGCTTAGCTTACCTTTTTGTTAAGACACTTAATTTTTACGTTTTATTTGTTAAGAAATGGGGAATGAGGCATTTCTAATTTTCTAGGTGACTAATTTTTGTAATTGCAGTTAGTGTCAAACTAGGGATGTCAAGGCCAAAAGAAGGAAATTTTATATATTACTTTCTCTTTCTAAGACTTACAAGGTTTTTGAATATTCTAGCTTTAAGTTTCTATCTAATTTTAAGTGACTGTAATGTTCTTTTCCCTTCCAATCAGTCTCGTATTCCAGTGAAATCTAAAGAGTCACAATCAGTGACTGAAAGTTTTTTCCGTACGCCCGGAGGGCCGAATGCAATTTCTAGTTTATCTTCGTCTCCTTCAAATTCAGACTGCGCTGATGGAATTTCACATGGAAACTTGTTTGTTCCACAAAGAAAACTTGAAGTGTCAGAGGACCAACTTTGACTGAGACGTCTGTCTGTTAAACTTGTTTTGTGGGTATATTTACCAGTACAACACTTAGTATTGTGATTTGGAAGATGTACATCCTGGAAACAAACAGTAAATGCATTAAGAAGTCTTCAGTATTGAAAAAGCCTTATTTAGCGCTTAGGATTAAAATTGGCATTTTTTATAAAAGCAACTAATGTCCATTAATTTTTGCAGTTTAAAGCATTACAACCAAGTATGTGCCAAATGTCTGTTTTACTCTGCATAACAGTACAGAACAAAGTAAGCTCTTAGGCATAATTTGTTGTGTACAGAAACTGAGTAAATGCAAAACCACAGAGCATCAGTACACCTTTTGCACAATGAAAGTACTGTGAGCATGTAATATATTGTATTTTTAAATAGGAAAGGCTATAGTTAAATATTTTCTACTTTATTTTTACTCCTACATTCTTTCAATAATGATCTTGTAAAGTTAGTAAAAAAATTAATCAAGTATGTAAATTAAGAATTATTTATAATGTATTTTTAATCAATTTATTCACATTAAATTTAAGGCTAAACTTTTCCCCAGCATTGTCTGCAGACAGAGGCTGCTCCATGGGATGCCCGGTGCAGCCCCTGCCCATGGAGAGTTCAAATCCAGAGGCAGCAGCATGGGATGGCAGGGGGCTCCCCGGGGTGGGGCAGGGAGCACACTGGCTAACGGTCCCACCCTGGGGGACTATTGAATAGTTGTGTAACTGATCTTGTGTGTGGTTACACGACTATTCAGATTAGGGCAGGGGGCTGGCGGTGTGTGGGGGAGGGGGGGCAGGGCAGGAACTTGTAGTGAAAGAGTGAGCATTGGAGGTTGAGGGGGAACTCAGGGCAGAGTATCCCATCTGGTAGTGCTTTCTCCCTTCCCAGCTCCTGCAGCTGGTGGGATCTTCTGTCCCCTGCCAAGCCCCGTGTTCAGAAGGGCCTTCTTCCCACCCAACCCCTATGGCCAGTAGGACCTTCTCTCCACCACAGCCCTCCCTGGCTGCCAGGGGCCTTTTCTCTCCCCTCAACTACCCCTTGGCCGCACGGAGTTTTTTCTCTTCCTCTTGCTCCCTCTGGCTGCCAGGGACCTTCTGTCTCCCCACAGCTTCCTTGGCCTGCATGGCCCTTCTCCCTTCCTCTGGTGCTGTGGGAGGGATTTGGTGCAGAGGGACTACTTATCCTGTCTGGTGACAGGCAAGATTGCCAAGCCCCAGCCCCACTGGCCATCCTCTTGGTGATCTCTCTTCAGTATAGCTTTCCCCTGCGGGCTCGCTGCTTTCAGTATGGTGCCCCTTCTCTCTTTGCCCACCTTTTCAATATTATGGAAAACAGTCCGATTCCCAGCTCTTCCCATTTTCTTGGCACAGCCAAACCGTGATCTTGCTTTAAGTTAGCATAATAGGAAGCTCCATACTAAATTTGGTGATCCTAGCTCTTACTGTTTAGGAGGTGTTCTTGAACAAATGGACTCACAGATAGATGTGCTGATCTCTAAAATAAATAGTATAATAGTTCCCAAAGGCCATGATAAAGAAAAATTTGAGTAACTCATAATAAAGATTGATATTCTTGAAATCACCGGTTTTAATTATGATTTTAAATCAACAATCAGGAAAGCTTTATTTAAATAATAGATTTTAATTGTATTTACATTTGTTGTGAGATTTATTCTCATTGGTTAATACTTGCTGATTTGCAACTAAATATAGCCTTTGCATGAAGTTTGGTGCTTTTTTGTTTATTTGATTGCCTGGTTTGGGGGGATTTTTTTTGTGTTTGCTACCTAAACAGGATACATATATGTATTAAAGCTGGTATCTAGCTTAGCTTACCTTTTTGTTAAGACACTTAATTTTTACGTTTTATTTGTTAAGAAATGGGGAATGAGGCATTTCTAATTTTCTAGGTGACTAATTTTTGTAATTGCAGTTAGTGTCAAACTAGGGATGTCAAGGCCAAAAGAAGGAAATTTTATATATTACTTTCTCTTTCTAAGACTTACAAGGTTTTTGAATATTCTAGCTTTAAGTTTCTATCTAATTTTAAGTGACTGTAATGTTCTTTTCCCTTCCAATCAGTCTCGTATTCCAGTGAAATCTAAAGAGTCACAATCAGTGACTGAAAGTTTTTTCCGTACGCCCGGAGGGCCGAATGCAATTTCTAGTTTATCTTCGTCTCCTTCAAATTCAGACTGCGCTGATGGAATTTCACATGGAAACTTGTTTGTTCCACAAAGAAAACTTGAAGTGTCAGAGGACCAACTTTGACTGAGACGTCTGTCTGTTAAACTTGTTTTGTGGGTATATTTACCAGTACAACACTTAGTATTGTGATTTGGAAGATGTACATCCTGGAAACAAACAGTAAATGCATTAAGAAGTCTTCAGTATTGAAAAAGCCTTATTTAGCGCTTAGGATTAAAATTGGCATTTTTTATAAAAGCAACTAATGTCCATTAATTTTTGCAGTTTAAAGCATTACAACCAAGTATGTGCCAAATGTCTGTTTTACTCTGCATAACAGTACAGAACAAAGTAAGCTCTTAGGCAT